TAGCTTCCAAATGAAGATCTGTACCGATGGATAACGAGCCATGGCAACCAAAATGGATGCGACAAGTTTGGTCGGTTTCTTGTAAACGGCAGTTCTGATGTTTTTGTGATAGTTTACAACTACAGTATGCTGGTATACAGAAAGACGCAAGAAAATTCGGGAGTTGGAAAATTCTCGAACATGAGGGGAGAAGTTAAGAGAACGACGCTAAGCGGTTAGTAAGGCGCGAGGCTTCCGTTTAAAGAAGCGGGGGATAGGGGGGGTCAGCTTGGGGCGTGCAAACGGACAGCGATCGAATGGAAGAATGCTCGGAAAAAGCACCTGTCCCCTTTTGCCAGAGCGCTCAGTTTAAAAATGCACCTGTCGCTGTGTCAACATCGCACACCTCATGCACACTGGCTTTCGACGGCCGTTCTGTTTCTGCCGCGTAGGCACTTGCAACGACGTCAATTATGATAGGTGGTTAGGACGAGCGCAGAAACAGACCGACAACGATGTCTGCAAGCCGATGTCAACATCAGTAAACAACCCGTTATTCGCCTCGGCAGTGGACGAGCATTGCTGGGTGTACAACAGCGCAGATGCACGTCTGTCAGCGATAGCCGGACGGGACCAAGTCACTTAATCCTCCGTCCAGCCCTCGTTTGAACTTGCGACGGCCACTCGCCGGGGATAACGAAAATTCAGTCCACCACTCAAACAGACAGACAGACAGAATATGACATCTAGCAACGACGCTAAGACCAGCGGAAAGAAGGCAACGGAGGCGTTGACCACGGAGTTGGCCACCAAAAGATGTCTTCCCTCACTCCGTACGTGTCAGATACATCCATTGGTAAAGGAGGATCAGCGCTCGTTAAGAAGGCACGGGTACAATTTTTCGCTACTATTTATTACCGTTGATTATTATAATCGCTTAGTCGATCCAGATCGTGAAGCACATGTGTCAGATGTGCCGTAGTGCTTGAACGGTCGGTTTGTTCCTGCGTATTCTGCACGAAGGTTATGGGAGCGATTTTCTGTGATGAACCCTGAATTGTTTTTAAAACAAGCAATTTGCCCCCTTCTGCCCTTTTGCTACCAGTCAGGAGAATGCAATAAAGTCAACGACCTCTAAGCAGACGGAGCAGATTCTTCTCGTGTCCTGCTGAGGAAGTTCCGTTGTCGACAAAAATAAGAAAAGTCATATTTATGTCGGTGAGTTTCAAATGAATGTAAACATGCCTTGTTTATATTGAATCCTGCAAATTGAAGGAACGAAATATGGCCAGAGTTATGGAAGCGTTCAGAATTAGTGCTGGCAAACTGAGGAACATTGAATGTCACTCCTCTCGATTTTTAGGCAAAGCATCTAGAGACATAGAATCTAATCCTTTAAGAAGATTAGTGCACTGCGGAACTACCGTTTCCACCGAAAAAATGTTTTTCTTTATGCTCAACCAAACATGGTGAAGCAAATTTGCATCCTTGTAGGTTTTATAGAATCAAAATGCCATCATCTACTTGTAAGGTCCCCAAGGCTGAACGAAATTAGGGGATACTTCGATTGTGATATTCAAATCTGGAAAGACGACTTATGCACGTATCAAAAACGGTCTTCTTATAGTAAATCCGCAATATCAACCATATTTCCTGTAGAGCAGAAGAAGAGATTTTCAAATTTAATATTCTAGGCACAAAGTGATCCCAAGGGCTATGTCAGGAAATCAAGACTTCAGACAACAATGACAATCCTCATTATAAGACGAGGCAATGACTGCCTATCAATAATCAATATATCATTTATTTCTGTGATACATGATGTCGCTGCTGTCAG